TGAACTAATTCATTTTATCCATTCACTATAATTTCTTGACAAGGAGAAGGATGCTTCTTATATATTGAATATCACAATTAAACCTTACTTTATATCATTAGTTATTTATTAATTATTAAAATTATTTATTTATTTCAATTGTCTATTAGTGACAGATAAGCAAATTGAACGTCGTTGTTGTGATTAAAGTATTGTCTTTCTAAGTTCTTAGTCCGTAATTCTAAACTACTCCCTGTGTGATCGATATCTAGGACTCCATTAGAGCTTTATATTACTTGAGCAATACGTATACTTGCGTTGACAAATTCGACTTTAACATTATTGAATATTATATTTATACATCTTAATCAATTTAGACACATCTATAAAGTCGCGATCAAGTCTTTGGACTCAGTTGCTGGAAATTAAATCTTCTAGTAGCGCCATCAAAATCTTGTATTTGTCGATTTACAAAAAGTCGGTCACGACCCCATTAGGAAACTAGAACAACCAGAATAATACTAACTATAGACCAACTTATTCTCTAGGATTTAACTGTAACCAACAAATTAAGGAGAAAAAGTTATTTATAGAAGAAATAGTGTTATATATGGGTAATCAATTACAGAGTCAATGAACAACAATTATAAACATTGAAAATTAGTTGGGACAAATTGCCACCACCCTTAGCAATAGGCGTGAGGGAATTCTTCCTAGTAATATTGAAACTAATCCTAAGGACCAAAACAAAGAACAAGTTAAAGCTGCCAATTTAAGAAGTGGAAGAGAATTGGAGATGAGAGTTCAAAAAGATATCGAAGTTGAGAGAAGAGAAATTGAAAAGTCTGATGAAGATATTCCTCGGCCTTGGAGAATCTGGCTGCTTAGAGGAATGAATTCTCCATCTCATAGTCGATGCCCCTTCGAACAAGAAGGTTTTAACTTTGTGGTTGTCTTCGCTCAGACTTCTCCTTAAACACTCTAACAGGTGCCTCCAACCTTGGCTTGACTTGAGGTGTCCTTAGCAGAACCTCAATTGATCGCTACCTTGGTTACCACATCTACCCTCATGGCCGAAGAAGAATCGATGAACACCGCTCTGATGATATGATCAACTATATATATATATATATATATAAAGCAAAATTCAGAAAAATCTAATTTCATCCAAAAAACGTCCTATCTACCCAACATATGTTCCCACTCTGAAGTTGTAAAAGAGAATCCTTCCTCACTAGTAGGCCACCCTTTAGCTGGTAATGGAAGGCCAACGACACTATGCACATCAGGCAGCATTGAGGTATCGAGAGCCTCTTGCATAGTTGTCTCAGTAGTTTTCTCCGCTCTTAGAGCTAGAGTAAAAAATTGGAGCTAACAACTCAACTGGTTGTTCCTGTGGGGGGCCACTGCCTTCAACCTTAGGAGCCCCCTACAGGCAACTCTCCCCCTTATAGACACCCTCTTGCAGGTAGTGTTCTTCTGCCTGCACCTCCTCATCAGGGCGTCTAAGAGGTGAATCCAAAGTTCCCACCTAATCCTCTGAGTCATGCCTCAGCTGTTTCCTCACCACCACCTACTGATTCAGCTCCCCCTCCGATTAAGAGATTTTCTGTCGCTTAAGACCATCAAAGGCCATCTAATAAGTAGTTTTTCCAAACTTTCTAGCTTTGAGTGACAGTTCATTAACCATCTTGACTTCTAGGAACTCTAATAGATTGGGTGAGGAAATCAAAGGGCGATGGGATGAAATGCACCACTCACTCCATATTTATAGAAATCACGAGCACGGAATTCAAGGGGAGCTCAATTATTGCATTATTAAGTAATCATAATTATTATTCACATTTTCTATTAAATTAATTCTCTTGTTCTTATCGCAACATACATGTCAAGAAGCAAGAGAATCAAGAAACTAAATATATACACTAAAAATACGTCAACACAAATCCTAAGAAAATCTGACGGGGTGAGAGAGATGTGGTCAGAGAATACCCATCAACGATGAAGTTATACTACACGTGAACCAGATATGTCCATCACCTCAGTTCCCTTGGACCAAAATCCAAATTTGACCAATAAACCATTAATGTCGATCGGCTAATGAGGGCCAATCAGCCAAACATATTATCGACTGATAGATAGCTTCAGTCAGCCGGCTACTTGAACCAAGCATAACCTACCAAGAGGTTTCTCGCAAATTTAAATATTACCTGGTGTAGGTGGTTGATCGGCAGAAATAACCTAACTTAAGACCTATTTATTTATCTATCTATTTATACATGTGTTTAAATCCATATTTATTCACTTCTTACTAAATGTTCGCCCCTATTAAGACGGGGACAAGCAAGTAACTGCACTTTTTATAGCCCTCCCCCCCCCCCCCCCCCCCCAC